TGTTTGGAGTCATCCAGTGATGGATCCTATATTATCCATTTAGACTCAATGTTACTTGATGAAAATCTGTCATATGAAGAGGAGCCTGTGGCTATATTAGATACAGAGGTCTGCAAGATGAGATCTAAGTAAATTGTGATTATGAAGGTCTAATGGAAGAATCGTCCTATGGAGGAGGCCACTTGGGAGTTCAAAGCAGACCTACGTAACAAATATCCACAACTTTTCATTGAGTCAGGTACTTTTCTTTCCATGTCCCTTTCTTTCCATTCAGAGATGAATGGTGGTTTAATTAGTATCCGATGTAATGACCCTTCCAGCGTTATAGAGTGGTTAGGATCCTAGCATCCTGGTAGAGCTCCCATAGTGAAATGAGTTAATAACAACTCTAAGGGGGTGGTTTAAAAACTGAATTTCAGTGGTCCTTGCTTCATTTTCATGACTTATGTCCCATTAGGGAGTGACTAGTGAATTAGACCTCCGTAAAAAATTCTGAGACTACGAGTGAATTCGTAGCATCATTTTATGTCTAGGTTCACAATCGAAAAGTATTGGGAAGTCGAGATGAAGGACTTGTGTTTTAGGAGGGGGAAAGTATGCAAAATTATCAATTTACTAATTTGCAGGGACCGCTGCAGCGGTAGCATTTCCATTGCAGCAAGACCACCATAGCAGTTGGAGGTCCATCGCGGCGGTCGAAGAGAAAAATTATCGGTACTACCGTGGCGAGGCTCTAATCACCGTAGCGGATCCGCTACAGCAGAATAGAGAGGCAGAATGCCTGTTTAAGTTAGAATTTTGGGACTTTCACCTTATATTTTTAAGACACAAACTTTGAGAGCTAAAGGGCGATTTTTCAAAGCCAGAACAATTTCTTCTTCCCAAAATAAAGTTTTGACTATTATTTCTGTCTTTCGATTCCCTAATACCATAGAATTAATGCGTGGCCCTTAATGAAAAAATTCTAGCTAAGAACCCTAGAGTTGAGAAAATTAGGGCAGGTTGAATGGGTGTTGATTTCTAGGGCTAAAAGTGAGTATTAGCACTTTCTAGGGTGATATAAATGTAGTAAATCATTATGCGATAGTTTGAGACTTAGAAGTTATAAAGTTGAGACCTTTAACGTTAAAAACTTTTTAAAATGGATTTAGAGGGATAGAGACTCCATGAAATAGGTTAAAATGATCAATGCAAAAATAAAGGGTGGTGAATTAACGTATGGTAACGAATTTGGACCATTATGATAGGTAAAGATTGGATGGGTTTAAATTCCCAAGACTCTTAATTAAAGAGTAGATAATGAAGTACTTTTGTATTGTTGTTCTTAGATTTCAAGTGTTCCGAAGCTTTGAGAAAAGAAAAAGCTCCCACGGAGTAGCATGCATATTCACATTCTTTGGTCAAGGTAGGTTACAGTGTTATATGGAGTTAGATTTTGTATAATATCTTGTATGTATTATGAAATGATGAGCATGTTGTTTGTCCTTCGAACATTTGTTGTGATAGGGAATATGATGGTTTAACCTTGCTATTGCATGAGCTCTGAAATCGAATAAATTGTGAATATTGTTCTTGAATCAAAGTGCTATTGTATTAATCAATGTGTACTTTTAATTTATCCTATGTGATGATTGATTGATAGCGTATTGAACTATGCTGATGAATGTTAGATAATACTTTCTTATCCTGAGATGAGGAGCTCGCATTCGAGGGGAGTATCCGGACAAGCGATTATAGTGGATTGAGAGATTATTGAGGAATTCACTATCCTCCTAAGGTGAGTAGCTTGTGCCCCAAAGTAAGCATTCCAGCAAGTAGATATGGTATAAGTGGCTCGTATCTGAGGGAAGCATCCGAACGAGGAGATGAGTGAGAGAGGATACCACACCGGTACAGAACATGAATTTCTAGAGTCCTCTGCAGGTCGTGACTGGAAGAAAAAACATAAAACCCTCTAGCATATATGTACAGATTGTAACAGATATAAGACCAATGAGTGATTGATATAAGACTCGGGGATGTATAGACCTGTGTGTTTTACACAGACATGATCCTATTGCATAATTATATTTGCTTATATCGTAATCTTGTCCTATCTTGATGACTGATTTTTAGGATCGTAAACATACTCCTGTTGATTGATAAATTCTACGTTTGAAACTGCAAATATAGTTGCTAGTTATAAACGATTGATGTACTCATGAGATGGTTGATTTGTTGACTGATTCTGGGCTATTTTTGGTTGTTCATTGAATTATATTATATACTTATAATTATTCAAGATCGGCCTATGATGCCTATCAGTACATAGTGTTTATACTGATGCTATTCTTGCAGTTATTTTAGAGTGCAGATGGTGAGTCAGAAAGTTCGTCCCAACCACACCTCTAGCAAAATCACGAATTTCCTATTTGAGGGTGAGAATAGGTTATCTCCAAGATGCAGCAAATCGTCTTTTAATTGATGTCTCTTTTAATTCGGAGATTAACTACTTTTCTTGTATTATTCATTTGCTCTTAGACTTTATTGGCTAGAGTCTGCATACGATGACTTTCAGTTCTTGGGTTTGTAATAATAGCTTTCGCGTAGATTTGTTTTATATATTATTTAAGACTTTTGTTATTTTTCTTATAATGCTTTCGTCTGATTAAAATGAATACTTAAATGGGTGGGTTAGTTAAAAATAATGGTTCGCCCACCGGGGAGTTGTGTAGGTGCCAATCACGACCTTTTGACATATTCTTTGTTCTTTTTTCTTCTTCTGTTTCTTCTTTCTTCTTCTTCTACTGCTTCTTTTTCTTCTTCTTCTTTATTCTTTCTTCTACCATTTTTTCTTCTTTTATAGTTTATACATTCGAATTTGTAGATATTACGTGTAAATTTGATATTTTTTTAAAAATAATATGTAGATTTTTATAGATACATCATTATAAAAATGTATTTGCGTAGCATTGATATTACATTGTTGATATCTGATTAATCTAATGTAATTATGAATTTCATATTTTGAAGCTTAAAAGTTGATTGAGAGCGATACTTATATCTATCATTATAAATTTAAACATTATTGGGTAAATTGAAAATATAAAATTTCATTATTGCAATTCTTAAAAGTTTGAAAATTCACCAATGGATTTTGAATTTGTTGAAAATTTTAAAAAGTTGATGATTGTGATTTGTTGGTGGTGTCATTTTGAGATTGTAGTAAAAATTTGAAGCCATTTAAAAAAAATTGACCCATTTCGAATGGAGTTTTATAGTTGAAGTTCGTAGGATATCAAACACAATTTTTTGTAAAGGTTGTGTAATTTTGTACTACAGTGTAAAAGTATGTATAAGCACCTCTTATACATTATTATACCTTTTTATACAAGGTCTATATATTATGTACAGTAAGTGTATAATGTTGTATAAGCATTATTACGAAAAATGGGCTATGCGGGTGTGATATAAAAATATGGGCTAAGTGAATGTAATATTTTATATTAGACTATATATTTTTGTAAAAATCTCTTTTGTATTTCCATCCTTCTCTCTCTGTATTTTTATATTTTTTTTAAAGGTATCAGGTAACTTTATTTGCTATATTCATACATACATTTAAATTATATCCTCTCTCTCTCCCCTTCTCACCCCCATCTCTCTCTCTGTATTCTATATTTTCATCTCTCTTTGTATTTGTATATTTTTTTAGGTGTCAAGCAACTGTATTTATTATACTCATACGTGCATTTAGGATGTATTCCCTCTCTCCCCTCTCTTTGTATTCTGTATTTTCACCTCTCTCTTTGTATTTTTATATTTTTTTGAGGTGTCAGGTGATTATATTTATAATATCCATATGTGCATTTAGGTTTTATTTAGTATTTCAACCTCTCTCTCCCTCTGTATTTCTAATTTTTGAGGTGTCCGGGACTATGTTTATTGTATTCATACGTGTATTTAGGTTGTATCAATGAATACATGTTGTATTCATGAATACAATCTGCGTAAATACAAAGATACAAATAATAAAAAAAATGCAAGGGACTGTATTCATTTGCTCTTGTATCACTTGTATTCATTCTCTCTTGTATCACTTGTATTCATTCACTCTTGTATTACTTGTATTCATTTGTTCTAATTTCACTTGTATTCATATACGCATGAAGGTTGTATTCATTTTCTCTAATTTATATTGTACTCATTTTCTCTTATATCTCATATACAACCTTCTAAAATTCACGATGTTTTCACATACAACCTTTAAAAATTTGCGATGTATCATTGATACCGAAATTCTGTTGTATTTGTGAGTTCAATTTAGTTGGATATTGATATACTGTATCTATTTGCTCAACCTATTTGTATCAACATTTTCTTATTTTGCCAGATACGTTGATTTTAGGACAAGTCGCTTTATATCAAATATAAAATTCATTTAGAGGGATTAACAAAGTACTCAATTTTATTGAACACACTTTACTAGATACATTGATACAATCCAAAAAAATATTTTCAGATATAACATTCATTTGTAGATTGTATCGGTGTATCTATCACTTTTATTTATGAAATACACTTGTATCATCACCAAAAAAATCAATATAGAATAAATTAATTGGGGTGATTAGGAGAAAAAGAGGCGAGAGATGGAGAGATAAAGAGAGAATGAGATAGAAAAAGAGAGCGAGAAAGAGGGGCAGAGATAGAAAGAGACAGAGAGAGAGAGAGAAAGAGGGGAAGAGATAGAAAGAGAGAGAGAGAGAGAGAGAGAAAGAGGCAGCAAGAGCGAGGAAAGAAAGAGAGAGGCGAGCAAGATTGGGAGAGAAAGAAGAGAGGCGAGCAAGATTGGAAGAGAGAGACTATAAATAATAATTATTTNTATAACATATGTTTGTAATACTATATAAATTTTTTGTTTTGTTTCCCACTCGTTGGTACAATGATGAAAGGAAGAGAACTAATTAAACTCTAATTTGATGACAAGAGAGGTACAGAAAAAGACAGACAAGACGACTGTCTTAACTCAGTGGTTGAGCGTGTAGCTTTTGACCGCGTCGTCGTGGGTTCGAGCTCTACATGCAGCGAGCTTTTATAACTTGTTTTTCAGTATATCATTTTTCACTTCAATAGGCTGTGTAAATACTTTATGAAAAATTGAATTGCAAAAGTGGTTGCAGATCCAAACTCTTCGCCAATTTATGGCTCTTCGCCACCTCTCTTGACCTAAAATGTCTAATATTCAAGTCAACTGAAGATACAAACAAAAACGGAAAGCTTTATTTATTTGTTAGATATGGCAAAAAGAGTGATTATTTTTCCTTTTAAGCATGTGAGGATTAAAAAGAAAATTAAAAATTCAACTCTTAATTATTTATTTTAATAAGTATTTCTATTTTTCAGGCTGATTAAAAAAAATTGACTTGAACTCTATCATGATAGAAAAATAAAATTAATTTTTAATAAAAATAATAAAGTATCAACTGTGTGTTTTCTTTTATAGATGAAATGCGA